TTCCCCTCCCCTCCACCCACTCCTGGGCCGGCAACTGGAGGCCGGGTCCCTCCCCCCCACTCACTCCAGGGCCAGCAACGGGATGCAGAGGCCTCCGGCCGCCGCTCCCCCACCCCCCTCCCACCCTCACCCACTACTGTTTACCTCACCACCATCCAGCCTATGCGTTCGTTACAGACCACATCTTTCTAGATCCCGTTGTATCGGTTTCACAATGGGCTTTTCTGCTAGTGATACTAATAATATCGACACGCATAGGCATTAACATAAAACAGCCAAAAATATACTATGGTGCTTCTCGACTAAATTTCTGCCTGCTCCATCAGCAACCCAAGAAAACTTACTGAAAATAGTTGTTGATATTATGACTTTGCCTGATTCCTAATGTCATCGTCAGAGGCCTGACTTTGTGTACTGTTACTTTCTGAAGTAAGGCAGGTGGCCACTAGAGACATGGCCTTCTCTGTTGCGGTACCATAATGGTGAAACACTCTTCGCACAACAGATATCAAACCTGTCACACTTTCAGGACCGACTTAAGATTCTTCTGTTTAATTTAGCCAATTCTTTACCTAAGGGTGTGCATTTGGATTATTCCAGTCCAAATAAAAACCTCATCAGTATTCTTCAGTTATATCTGAAGTGACATCCTGATTTTCCAAAATACTGATAACTGGAATTATTCAGGAATATTTGGGGGCAGCATTTTAAGGCTCCCAGGCCTGTTTCATGTCAATTTTAAAGGTTTGGTTGGGCTTGAAGCAGCGTCCTTTGCTTAAGTTGGTTTGGCTTGAATTCTCCAGTTTGACATTGGTTGTGGTGGGCTGGCCCACAGTTCTGCTAGGATTCTCTAATTTGACATTGCTTTTGTTGGGCTTCTTGGTTCTGTCTGCATTTGGAGCCTTTTGGCCAGAGACTGCACTTGGGTGTCTGGCCACCCAAGAGTACCGGGGACCAGAAAAATCTGGACAACCAATATGGAAACTGAATCTGAAAAATTTGAAATTCTTTGCTGCTTGTTTTCACCTTACACATTGCTTCATATTTTGTATTGCTTTCACTTATGCAGTTAATTTAAACAACCAGTTTTGTATAATCATTCATGCTTGAAATTTTTAGTTGTTCTTTTTGTAACAACATAAAATAATTAAATTACTTTTAAAAGAAAAAAAATCTATTTTTATGTGTATGAGAAGCCACATTTAGCCAAGACAGCAGGTCAGAATTCAGATAAACAAACCCCAATTTTGCAAAAAAGCCACTAGTGGAGCTAGTTTGGCCACAGCCTCAGTGGTCTAAAAGCACATGAATAAAATGAACCAGCAAGTTCAACAAATGGCCAGCATTAAAATAATGCCCATCAGTCATTAACTTGGGAAGGCACACACACATAGAGACAGACATCCATTCACATGCATGTTCAAATGCTGGAAATGTAGCTAGCGCTACTTTCAAAAGACTTTTTGCTCAGGCAGTTGTGTGGGCCATAACAAGCTATTCCAGGGTTGCTGAACTGGACCAGACATTTATAGCAATTATATTCTCCTTCTCTGGACAGCAGTGCCCTCAAACACAGAGTGCACTCAGACAATATAATCAATCCACATAAAAACAAGTAATAAAAATCTATAGTACCACAGGAAACTGCTGTGTTGGAGACATTGCCAGGAGATGCTGAGGTGGGTAGGACACTGCTGGGTACTGAACTGATTGGGAAGAAGGCTGCAGAGCCTGAACAGGCTGAGGTGGGAAGGAAACAGAACAGAACAAAAGGAGATTCAATTATTGCCCTTAGAGCAAGGCAGACATCTCTTAATTTGAGCTAAGGGCGAAACAATAACCTGAAATATAGATGACGTTCTCCAGTTTACCCTGTGCAGGTTACAATAGGTCAGATAGAATTGCTGGAAGACTGCAATTTTTCCAGTGTGTCTGCAATCCTAATCTTGTTAAATCCACTGGCAGAAAGCCCAATTGATTCCCTTACTCCTCTTACTCCCAGAAACTCAATACTAGTTCTACTGTTGCAATGCTGCTGTAATACCACAGTGGCACTCAAATATGGCGAGAGCCCGTAAACTTACGCTGGCACCAGAGATTGATTTATTGCTGGTCCAGCAACTCTGGGTCTCCGAAGAGGGAACATCTTCCTTTACTGCTCTGGATACAACTCAGTTCTAAACCGGAATGCCACCAGTGAATCTTAGAAGTGTAACTTGCAAAATGCTTTGCTAGATATTCGTGGAGAGATGACTCACCCATATTCAGAGTGCTACAAGCAAAGGTTTAGCTAAATGCAATGCTATCTTGTGCAAAGGGCAATTGTGCTGGAGGCAGTAATTATCGAGCTCATTTGGAGGAAACTGGTAAGTAAATGAAAGAAGGGTTCTGCATAAACTATATAGAGATCACCATTCCAACTAAATGACTCCTTCAGTGTCTGAAAGAGATGTACCGAAATAACTTGTATATCTCCTAGGTATTATTTGCATCATAAGTGCTGAATATTGATCATGCTATTAGCAACATTACAGGACAAATCCTGTCACAATTAAAATTCAAAAAGCATGGTTAGTCTCAGCTATGGGTGCCATAATTTTAAAAAATTGTCATTCAGTGACCTTTATGAGCTGCATTAGAGAAAGAGATTTAATGGATAAATCTTTTCCCAGCATGGTGATGCAGTGAATTTCTGCCAGTCATACAGGAGCCTGCTGGGAAAAAAACCAATGGGAAGTCTATTTCAGCAATAGAGTATTGAACTTAGACTTGAGCTTGAACCTAAGATGAATTATGGATTTGCTGAAGGGTCCTTTGGCTAGGCACCATCTCTTAGTTCTAGTTGCCTGTTTGCAGAAGGAGTATTAATCCCAGAATGGTGCTGTGCTAGTCTGGAGCAGTTCAATAAAACAGAAGTCCTGTTTCATTTTACAGTAAAAGCATCATTAGGGATGGACACAAACAGCAAAAATGCGGTTCATGGTCAAACCACGAACTGAATCAAACCAGGGGGTTTGTTTGCTAACTGAACCAGTTCATGGTTCGTGGCCAACAAACCATATTGAAAGAGACTGCAGTCCCTTTAAATGGAGTTGCAGAAAGCCTGGAAAACAGAAGAGTGGTAGGGAGCAGCCTGCTCCCTGCAACTCAGCTGTTTTGGGCTTTCTTGTGAAGTCCCTTTAAACTTTAAAGAGACTGCACCAGATAGCTACAAAAACAGCTGAGCAGCAGGAGGCAGGCTGCTCTCCAATGCACAGCTTTTCTGCAGCTTTTTGTGGGGAACAGAAAGCAGCAGTTTAAAGGGACTTGGAGTCCCTTTAAACCCCTACTTTCTGCTCTATCCATGAACTACCATTGACCACTTAAAAGTTCATGAAAGTTCGTGACAGTAGACCTGTCACTAATTTCAGTTCGTGAGCCACAAACAGGGCAAAATTCATGATGAATTCTGCTTCATGGTTCAGTTTGTGCCCATCCCTGGTGTGATCTGGCTTTTTTCACTGGCTTGTGATAGACTTGCCAGGTATAGATCCTGAGATCCTATACCTTTTAAGAATCACACGAGGGAGAATTTTGTGGTTTCTCCAATCACTTTGTTTGAAAAATCATAGTTGGTGAGCCTGTCTCTTCTGAAAAATTACCTTTCTTGGGAAATGACAACAACCTAGCTTCACTGGATTTATGCAGGCTTTAAGCCTTAGTTAGGAGCTTTAGACTTCATGTCAATGGGAAGCAGAGATCAAAAAGCACTATCGTCTTCCATTTCTGTTTTCTGTGTTAATCCATTTAAACTGAAAACAGATCTTCTTCATCTCCCTTTGTGGAAAGATGTTCATTTCCCTAATATAAAAGAAGCTTGCACATTGGGGAGATGGAAAAGACCCATGCTGGATGAGATCAAGAAATGGTTCACACTAGCCTGCACCCTCCCATAACCAGCTTGGGAATGCTTAGAGACACTGCGAAGCATTCACACAGCGGTATTGCTTATATTATCCATGGCCTTCACATGACAGCTGTTCATGCAGCTGGTGCAATTTGCATGAGTGCAACAGCTGGAAAGGTTTCCATGCTAGTGCAAATGATGGTAACCACAAACACAGACTCCAAAAGGAAGTGTCAGATGGATATGCAGGACAGCAAGGCTGGCCACAGACATTTTGCTAGATCACATGATCATGTGCACTTCTACAGTGCTGCCTGAGAGGCAGAACTCTTCAATTTTGTGCACAATCTGAAAAGTGTGTCCCAACATCCTTAATACCTTTGCAATGTAATATGGGATGCACTCCTTGTATGGCTCCATTGGCACTCTTTTGCTGCCCTAAGTGACCACTCAAATCGCTTTTGCAGTTTGGACCAACCCTCCAGGTAGAGTAATATTAACTGCTACTAACTTAGACAGATCAAACCTTTCTCCTTTTTTGTGTGTGGTCCTACCTGTGTAACAAGGTGACTTGCAATCTGTTGCTGTGGTTGCTGTACAGGCTGCTGTGATGAAGGTGGTTGCTGAGACTGCCCAACTATCTGGTTCCTAAGAGGCTGCTGACTGCTGGGTGGGTTGTATATTGCAGGTGTACCATCAGGATTTACGAACGGCTGACCTGGAACAAATTATACTTCAATTCGCTTTCAGAGGGCAGCCACCACCAAAGGAAGACACGAAACAGCATCTTGCCTATCTAGACCATGCAATTTGAAATGCAATATTCAAAATTACAACATGCAGTATTCCAGTGAAATCATTAAGTTCTGCTAGGTACCAGTTACTGGCAGAGTTCCAAGTTACAGGCAATCAGTTATCTATTTTTTGCAGCTGGAACTAATAACCCTTATTAGTCCTGGGACAACATTTTTTTTTTTTATCTTCAAGGATATTTAAGCAGAAAATCTTAAATATCTCCCCATTTCAGATAAAGCTGAACTACCCTGCAGAGGCCCAATATTCATCCAACCACAGTTTTCTCGCTTTGATCTACACAATGTGTAACCTTTTGCAGCAAGTTTTGCATGCTATACACACAGCATAGAAATGACACCAAATAAAATATTATCTAAGGATTCCAACTGAATTCTAATTACAAGCACACTGCAGGCTTGTATGCTCTGAATCGTCAAGATGGCACGAAGTCTCCAGAAAGCAAGTGGTACAGACAGGCTATTGGGGAAGCAAAAGGATTTCTTTCATTAGTTTCCTTATCACACAAAACTGGACCAGGAAAGTAAATTATAGAGTACATTTTAATATTTGTAACATTTTAAGTTCAGTGTCCTTGTTCTTCAGTACAAATATTTTATTCTAAAAAGACCTTGCATCTCCTGTGACACTCTGTATGGGGATGAAAACATCAGTTAATGTAATTGACTGATTAATACATTAAGTCCAGATTTTAAATGTGGACTTCTAATCGAATTTAGCAGAATCTGTAACACAGTGCCGACAGAAGCTTGCCCCATTTTGAAGCATTTATGGCACTGTTGTAAATTATCCATGTTCATTTTTTTAAGCAATAACTGATTTTACAAAGCTTTTTATTCATGCTGTGAAGAAATGCATTCCCCCCCCCCTCTCGGCAGGCAAGAACAGGGGAAGCCAGTTCAGTGGCTTTCCAGAACTAACTCAGCCCACCTTCATACAAATGCTAATAGGTCTAGACAATGGGATGGTCGAGCCCTGACCCCCCCCCCCCCCCCAAGCAGGGAACAGAGATCTGGAGTTGTTAAATACTAAAGAGACTTTGGGAAGAAAATTCTGGAGACTTCTGGAAAAGTTTATCTGGCCTGACCTGGCCAGTGGGTGGGGACAAGAGAGCTGATAAAACTCAGGGGAGCAAGGAGGAAGCTCTATTTTGTACTGAGTCCACCAAAGCAGACAGAACCCTTAACTAAATCCTGGAGGAGGTGGCCATTAGTCATGTGGTGGCCTGAAGAGCTGGAGAAAGTTTCAAGGTAATGAATATAGAGATCTGTAACTTTCTAAGATAAGGAGTGTGCTCGCTTTGGCAGCATATATTTAAAAGCTAAGACGCCTGTCCTATATTTTAACGCCTGATAGGGCATGTATAGAGGACGGGATGGAGGAATTGTGTTTTACCCATTTATTTTGAATACCTTGTTCAATCTGGTGCTGTGTTAAAAGTATGCTTGTGAACATTTTTTTAAATAAATACCACATAGACCTCCACCATTTTGGACATGCTATTTTAAAAGGAGCTCCAGCAGAAAGGCAGTCAGTTGGCAAGTGGCTATTCCTCCAGGAGCACACAAGGCAGTAAATGGTCCCTGTGGTGACCAGGCGCTGGGCACCAGGAGACACAGAGGCAAGGCCTCAGAACTTGGAATGGAAGCTGGGAGTCCTGACCCTCCCAGTGGGTAATTCCTTACAAAAGTCAGGTGGTGGTGGAGGGTTACGAGAGAGAGAGAGAGAGAGAGAGAGAGAGAGAGAGAGAGAGAGAGAGAGAGAGAGAGAGAGAGAGAGAGAGAGAGACAGACAGAGAGAGACAGAGAGAGACAGAGACAGAGAGAGACAGAGACAGAGACAGAGAGACAGAGAGACAGAGAGAGACAGAGAGAGAGGTCTCTCCAGGTGTTGGGAAACCTTGGGGAGCAGGGTGAAACAGGGCCTGCATGCCAGAGCAGGTCCATTCCACCACACATGCACTAAAATGAGTAGTTTCATTCCAACCAGCCATTCCTGGTCACTGAAGTGATGAACCATGTTTAAAAAATTCCCACAGCTTTCCCCATACATCATTGGCTGTGACAGTAAGCTTTGTTTAGTGATGAGTGGAAATATTTACATTTTTCATTCAGCAGCAATTAATGATTACTATTCTTTGTTTATTTTCTGAAACCACAGGCTCAAATTACAAGGACAACCACATCTCCACCTTTACAAACTTTTCGACTGCTTAAATTGCACCTAAACGATCAGTAGGAAAACCAGCTTCAAACTTCCCATAATACTTTAAACCAAGCCACTATGGACCAACTGTTCAAGCAGTGTTTTTATTTACTTCATTTATACTCCACCAGTTCAAAGAACCACTGAGTACATTTGCTTGGACATCCCGCACATGCAATTTGTACTCAGGGGATTCATATTACAAACTTCAAGACCACCTTCTTTCGATACATTTCTGGTCTCCCTTTACAAGACCAAGCAGTTTCTGTTCTTGGATGCCAATTAAAGCAAAGCTGTATGAAAATGAGCCGAACCCTTGAATTAGATTGGGCCTTCTGCATTTGCAACCCCTTCAAGCCATATCTTGGGGATTGCCCTTAGACTCAGGTGGCGGCAGTGCAGGTCTGGAAGGAAAATGGTATGGCATAAGCTGAGCTTGTTGCCTTGTCCTGCACCATTGGCAGTGCTGTCAGTGCCTCAGTTTCTTGGATGGAGAACCAAACAAAATGGTCTGGTGTGCTTCTGTCTGTATGTGTGCTGGGACTTGCCTACTCCTGTACTAGGGGATCAAATTCCCGGGGCCTGGTCACTCTGCAAGACCACAAATCTGGACAGGTCATATGGCTTGATTTGTAGAATATTTCAGTTGTGTCTGGGTGGTGTGAAGGGCTCAAAGGGAATCTTTGTTGGCGGGGTGGGGCTATAACAGCTCTCCAAAACCCTGCAAGTACATTCTGGATATACTCTAGGACACTCTTTGCTTAATTCACGTTCCCAGAACTAGTCCTAAAACAATATGATGAATGCCTCTGATTGCACCAAAATACTCCCTTCTATGCAACCGTTTATGTCACTGGGGCTTTGTACAGGTTCTCAATTTGTCCTTTCTTTGCCAGTTCCTTTTCTCTCAGCTATATTTCATAGTCAATATAACAGAATTAACAGAGAAGTGCAGGTGGGACTGTTGGAAGGAACTGGAGTGTCGAGTGGAGATCTGAATACTACAGGTTTTAGTGATCAGCATCCATTCCTATTGCTAAGCTTTTCAATTACTTACAAATCAAAACACTCACGATGTGAGAGAACTGTGACCAGAGACTGTTGTGTCACTGGTTTGGTTTTAATGTTAAAAGATGTCATGCCATGACAGTTGTTTTTTCTTGTTCTCTTTTTCTAAATCTCAAACCCCCCTTTCCTGTGGTTGCCAGTGGGAAGGTTGGGGGGGGGGGGGCGTGGAATAGCGGGATATTTTTTTTTTACTGCAGACTTGTGTACTTATAGGAATTTTTTTTACCAGAAATAACAAAGGGTAGTTCTTGGAATTGCCAGAAACTCTATGGTAAAACCACAGAACTACCCTTTGTCACTTCCAGTAAGAACTTCTGGTAAGTAGACAAGGCTACATTGAAAAAAAATATTTGCCACTGTGCAATAGACCTGGGGAACAGGGATCCACTGCCCCCACTGGGGGCTGGCAGTCCTACCTCCTCCATATTTGCCTTGTGGGAGGAGAGAGATAGGAACTATCTGGATACACACATACAGTTCTGATTGCTTCTGGGTTTGCATGGATGTCAAGCATGCATCATGGATATAGCTAACATCAATTCTTGTGATCACAGCTGGCTGGAAAAATGTGCTTCCATAGGAACAGGTGCTAGTTCTACCTGCAATAGCCCAATTCACAATATGTTTGTCCACATGACCAGACCTTCACACAAAGGTAGGATCACTCATGCAAAACATCAATCACTCAGAAACTGTAATTTTCTGAGCAAAGAAAAATTGAAATTACTATCCAACTGACCTGTGTGTGGATTGAGCAGGATACTTCCTGGTGGTATCCCTGCAGCTTCAAGTGGAAGTATGATGTAGCTGGTGTTGCTTGGTACAACCTGGCCATTCATCCCAGTCTCTGTGTAGGAAATGCTGTTTGAAGATGGGGCTGTCACTCTGGGGACAACGGGTGCGCTTTGGAGAGGTTGATGGGTTCGTGACAGAGATCCTGAGGATCCAGCACTGCTGGAAGACTCTGAACCTGTAAAGAGATAGCAGACTTCTTCTATAAAAGATGGCTATTCTTTCCAGACATCACATCTTCAGGATAAAATGAAAACTATGGACAACTCACCCCCTCCATCTATACTAGCACAGGATTACCTGGGAATTTATTTGCAAGCACATCCAAGATTTTACGTATTTCATGGATGGCAAATTTGGGATCTGAAAACATCCACAGATTCAAAATGTGTTTATGCTGTTTGAGGACCATGCTGTGAGAAAGAACAGAGTCAGAGGACAGCAGAATATAGAAAACTATAGAAAAGTGAAAACGATAGACGCTTCTCTTGCTCTATGCCCTACATAAGATGAAACCTCAAATAGTTACGAGTCAGAACAAATACTAAAGGAACAATCCTTAGGGGGTCAGATCAGAAGGTCCTACTGAAATGTACACAATGGAGTTTACTCCTAGGAAAGTTTGCTTAGGATTGCTGTGCGAAGGCTGAACTAAATGTGACCAGTGTCCTCATGACTGCCACAAAGGTGGGAGTGCCATGTCAGAGATATTTTAAAATGCCATGAGGACCTGATCAGGCTTGCAGTGCAGTGTTATTCCCCCTGCACTTTTTCAAGAGCTCAAAAAGCCATGGCTATTTCAGCATTTGAAAAAGTCCGCGAATAGTACAGAATGAAAAAGAAAAAGAAATATTATGAAGGCTTTTCTTTCCAACCGTGGTTGCTTTTGTTTATTCAACTCTAAATTGTCTTACAATTTCCTCAGTATCTCACACTGAGGTTTTGGTAACACAGTAATTAATTTAAATCTAATTGATCAATTAATGATTAATTGGTTGGAAGAGAGGTGATTAGTCAACTAAAAGATAATTAAACAACTGGCAGCCCTAATTACAATGATTAGCCTGTAACCCTAAACATTATTCCTTTTTTATATCACTGTTCTTACTTAAAATTAGCCCACATGCATTGAAACTATATTGCTGATACACCACTGAATGGAATACATATATGATAAATGTGTATTTTAACATTGGTTTTAATTGTTTTAATGATTTTTTGTTTCGTTTTAATGGTTTGTGAGATGTATTTTTATTACACTTTTTAATCTGTTAGCCACTCTTGGGGCTCTGATGAGGCCAGAAAGGCAGGGTTGTTGTTTTTTTTAACTATGTTTTTTAAACAAACAGATAAATAAATGAAAACAGTATATATTCCTTCCTATTTCAAAGACTATATATAGACAAAATCTGTTAAAACCAAATCTGTTTATTGCTTTTTTTATACCTGAATACTAAACTATATATCTAACAAGCTAGTTGCTCTACCTTCTTTTCATATAATCTTTCCATCCTTTTCCTCTCAATTAAGCAGTGTGATGTTTTTTCCTTTTGCTTCTAATGCTCTCACAAAACCATTTTTGTGCCTTTTGTGCTGGATTCTCTGATATTGCTCAAATACACCTTGCCATACCAGATTCCCTTTTTTGTTTTTCAGGTCATTAAAATGTACCCTGCACAGCCACACTGACCCTCTGCATTTCTTTCATTCTTTTTCTCTGCACAGGAAATTGATTGAAATTGTGCTTATACTATGACATCTACCCCAAATGCCAACCCTCCTTTTTCATTTAAGCATTCTCTCCACAGGATACAGCTTATTTATTTTCTGGCCATTTATATTCTCTTTCTTTTTCTGTCACCAATTTTTGCTCTATGCCACCTAACCCGTAGGTCACCAAGATCTCCAACAATTTCCAACATCTCTCACCTGTTGCTATTGTTCAGTAGAGATCCTAGCCTCCCCCCCTTTCTGGACCCAGGCCCCCCCCCCCCCCGCAACTTGAGAAATCAAAGACTACCAGTGGCCTCATAGGGCTGCCAAGTCACGAATAGTCAATGAGAGGAGTCAGAAACAGGATTTTCATCATCAATAAGAAACACCCAGTGAGTTTTTTGGTGCATCAGACACTTCAAAGCCTACTGAATCAGGCTATGTGTTCAACATAAAAATGTTTAGTAGGCACCTTCACTATTTATGGATATTTTCAGTGCAGAATAAGCTCATTATCTGCTGGCTAAATCAACTTCAATTCAGCAGTCTCCCATAGGTAAATTCATAATTTCATTCATTCTTTATTTGAAACATCGACACTATGAAATAGTATAACCACACAAAGTCATGTTCAAAGATGGTTTAACAGAGCAGATAACTGCTTACAAAGAATGGAGGGAAAGCCAATTATTTTTAGAGATCATTAATGCTCCCCTTACAAATGATGCCGACATTGCAATTCTATAGATGTATTACATTACAGAATTCTAATTGAATATTCTGGTGATGTCATAAATTGCAGGAGGCTGGCTGGAGTGATTTGTTAAATTATTAACTCTCCATTCCAGCCCTAGTATTGATTTATAGCTTTAATAATGCAGCTCTCTATATCCATTATAGTTCATAACATGGGAGCAACAGGTAGTATATTGTTGGCAAGAGATAAACTTATGCTTTTAAATTAAAATGGATTGGGGGAGGGGTAATGTGATAAGTTGAAAGGTAGATAAGCAATGTAAATGCAGCCCAATCCTCTGCACATTTGGTCAGATGTAAGCCTGTGGGGTGGACCCTACTGCTACCCTACCACTCCACTGAGCAAAGTTTGAAGCCTTCCAGTGTCCTAAGAAGAACTTAAGTGGCTCTTCCATTGGAGCTGTCAGCATGTTGCTGTGTGATTCGTGGGTATGGGTGGTGTTGCTATGAACTCTGGTGCGATAGATTTGCTCTTGGGTCATTGGAGCAGTATATTTGGAATACAGGATATTGACAAGTTGCTATGGGGCTGTGCTGAAAATGGTGATGCAATGGCTCTAACAAAATTAGGAGTACTTCACAAAAAATCAAGTTGAAAACTAAATAAGGAGGCTGAAGTCTATAAATTGTCTATGACATTAAACACTGGATTTCATTCATTGTACTATATGCAATGGGAACCTATATTTGACTTCTTTATTCATATGCTATTTAGACTGTGATAATATCAAGAAGGAAAAATATATTGATTTTTGCTCAAGGGAACTTAGTTTATAATTATCTCCTATGTTAAAATCAAAGGTGATAGAATATGCTGCAGTATTAACTGGAAATCCTTTTGAAATTTGAATACATTTTTTCCTTGGATTTTAAAGTTCTGGATTATCTTGTTTACAAAGGGGAACATGCATTAGCAATTCTCCACTGTTTCATTTTTCTAACCTCCAAATTTTGTTCAGTGATGGGGATGAGCAGGTTGCCACAATCTTCAATTCCTTTATGCCTTTTGACTTCCTCTATATTACTGATGTGCATATATCCAATGACAGAACATGGTGAAAAGCAATCTTGTTGTGACTGTAGGTATGGAAAGTATCAATATCCTTTCCATGTGATAGTTACCAGTGCCAAGGAGTATACATGTATCTCAGTAGGACACTACACAAAAATCACATATGGCATTACATCAAGATTGCATTTAGACATGATATAGCAGAGACATCCTTGCTTACCACCAAAAAGAGCTATGCTGAGAATCATGTCACCTGCATGTACAAAATCCATTTAGGGTGGGGGTTGCATCAATGTTCCCTCTAAGCTGTGGAGTCTTGTGAGCAAAAATTCTACTTTGTGGGCTACGGGCCTTAAAGTTGTGAGCGAGCGATTTGGGGACTGCATAAATCAGTTTGCTCGGGAGCCGTCCTTCCTGAGCTAAGACAAAAATATGTGAGCTGGAGGCTAAAAAACTGTGAGCTAGCTCACACTAACTCAGCTTAGAGGGTATACTGGTTGCAGTATAATGAAAAGGTGGGTGGATCCAATCCTGGGGAATGGAACTGAGGAAATCTGCTCATGAAAAACATACCTTCATTGATACATCAGACCAAAGACCCATCTAGTTGGGCACTCTGTTCCCAACACTGGTCAAGGCATAGTCCCCTGAAAACTCACGAACATGAATGAACACAAAGGCAACAAATCTTCCCTGGTTGTCTGTCCCTAGAAGCAGTGCTCAGAAGTATGCTGCCTCTGAACATGGAGTTCCACTATGCTGAGATACCATCATTTATATATTTAATTGTTTAAGAAATAAAACTTAAAAATTATATCCTATAGAACTAGGAGAACTGTCAGATGGCTTAAACGGCTGTAAAAAAACACAATGTATAATTTGGGGAGGACACATATTTTTGGTTACTTTGAATAATCATTCTTTTCATTTAGTAATCGCTTCTGAATCTCCCCACCCTCAGCATTATTTCGTCAGACTTTCTCCGGCTGACTGACAGCTTTGCTTTATGTCCCTGCACCAGAAAGTGTGAATTTGTTTTGACAACTTGTTCTCCCCCCACCACCACTTTATTGAGTTTCTGCAGCCTTTTTCTTCCCTGGGCCTTGACAACCTTTCAAAATTGAACAGATTTTTTAAAAAGAAAAACACCCAAAGCACTAAAAAAAATTCTAATCACTCTCGAATGAACACAATGTTTTAATATCATGGAAGTAGCTTTGAATGTTATCATATGAGATTTTTATTGGGGGGGGGTGATTGATGGCTTAAGGGTTATATAGGGTAGAAAAACATGAATCACCGGAGCTCTTCAGAGTAAGAGTTTCTTTTTCTAACATAAATGTATAATTTGCAGTGCTTCATTTTAGCACCAAAAAGATTATGTAAGTTTTAATATAAAAGCTTTTGCTAGAATTCTTTTTGTGTGAGGAGGGCAGAAATGGTGGCCGGGAAGCCAGAAGAGGGAGAGGGATGAGTGCTAAGAGTGTGGAACAGGCCAGCTGGAAGGGGGTTGGCAGCCATGGCTTCTTCCCCCATGAATATCCCTTCCTCTCCTGCCCATCATTTGCAATGCCCAATGAACTGTTTCTTCCCTGGGGTCAATCAGTGACCAACACCCATCAACTGAGCTCTTCCAATTGATGTTTTCCCCTTTTTCTCCATTAGCTCTCTTCCTCTGCATATAAAGCCCCCTTGTGATAAACTTTGTCATTCTGTGCCACGCCTAAGGGCAAATGATTGTTCAGGGGCCAATTCACTGTTCTTGAGCACCCTCCAAAACGCATGCCATTGTGTACCCACATACAAGTTTCTAGAGTCACTTTCCCCTTTTCTGAGGGATCATGCTGCAGGCACAAAGACAGAATCTTAGGTGTACTGCACTGTGGTATTAGGTCTAGCAAAGTGAACTTGTTTGCTGTATGTATCAGGGGAAAAAAAAAACCCTTTTCATTTCCCTTTTTGATCCCTTATCAAAAGCAGACCTAAGAGTAGCTGCTCAGGTACCAGGGTAGAGAGTATGAACACCACACAAGACATCAGTCACAGAGACAAAGCTCCAGGGATGTAGCCAGAACAAATTGGGTGGTGGGGCATTGGGAAATCCTGTGGGGGAGGGGAGCCAGGGGAAAGAGAGAGAGTGAGAGCAGTAAGCGTCGAGTCCACCCACAGCAGAGGAAGAGGACTCAGCTTGGAAGCAGTGGCCTCATTAAGTCTGAGCCAGCCCAGCCATGTGACCCATGGTCATGTGACCTAGGCTGGCTCGGCTGGCACAGGTGTAGTGAGGCCACCCGCCACCAAGCCGAAACCTCTTTTTCTGCTGTGGGTGGGCTGGCTGCTCGCAGCTTGAGCAGCATTTAAAAGGGGGAGCCGAGTCCTTCTCATCTACTGGCTTCTTTGTCTATGTAAGTTGGTGAGGGGGGAATTTCCACCTGTCTCTCTTTGGCATTTTGCAATGTTATTTTATTTTATTTTGCATTTTTAAAAACCTATTTATTTTTTGGCCTGGAAAAAAAAGAAAATGAGACTGAAGCTTCCCTGACTGCACCCAGAGTAATTTGGGAAACCCCACGTGCATCTTACATTTTAATTTTTTTAAATTTTTCACTGCAGGAGCGGCACTTATCCTTGAAGGCACTGACCCACAAATGCCCCTTGGAGGATACAGGCCCACAAAGGTCCATCTTGTTAAAGCTTAAAAGCTTTCCTCAGGTTCCGCAACTTGCCCTACCCACCCAACGGAACAGATTCGCATTACCAGCTTGTCCTGAATATCTAAAATGTTTTGTCTGAAATGGGGCTGGGGGATTTCACCAAGCTGGTCCTTCCGGTTTACAGACCTACAGTAGCATGGAGAGAGAACTCATTTTCAGATTTTGTCTCTGCCTTACCTTTGAACCTCTGTGGGCTTTCAAGAGAGGGCTCTTCTGAATCCTGCATCTTATTTGCTAACAGTTTATCTACTGAGCTCCTGCTAATGAAATCTCAAGCACTACATAGAACATACTGCAACCTGAGGGACATTACTGAGATCTGGCTAACAATTATTAGTAAATTGAGGTTAATTTAGTTTCTGTTAAACATTCTGAAGGTGAAAAGCATTAAGCGCTTAATATTGATTATTACTAAAGCTGAACTCTCTCTGTACGAATCCAAACTGATGGAAGACAGAGATGTGGGGTTTATTAAATCCATTTATATTCAAAATATGAACCTCACAGACTTGCAACAACTTAAGACTAAGAACCACCCTTGTATTTACCAAGTTCTGAAGTATTAATGCAAAAAATATATAAGGCCTAATTGGGTTTCTCCAACAGAAAGCATTTCTGTAGCTGACATATGCCATTATATAAGTTCACCTATGAAAAGAAGTGATCTGTAGATTTTTAGTATTCAAAATCGGTCCATGTCATGACTTGGGGTCCTATATACCCCTGAGACCACCCTCTTTTCCTGAGTCCCATCATGACTTCTAAAACCTACCTAGAACATACATTTCTGGGGACAAGAAAGTAAAGATTTCAAAGAATACTGTTTTTAGTCCAGTTTTAATCTATTTGTAACAGATATTTCCTTTAGGATATTCCCTTTGAGAATTTAAATAAAAATACAAGTAATATTAAAGCTAAAGATACAATTTGTCATGTTGGATCCAACCAGTTTTTCCGCTTGTGGGAAAGTAAGAGTTCCCTTTGAATACTGCCCCCCCAAGGGTCTTGCTGGGACTCATGGGGCCTGCATGTACTAAAGCCATATGGGATGGGGGCTGCAGAATGAAGGAAAAAAAGTGAAAAGCTGGGTGTTTTATGTTTACAAAATTATTGGCTGAATCTTCAAAAACTCTGAGAAGAACAAAACTACATTATTTTTAAATCTGTATCTGCAAAATTAAAGATGAAATTAGTATGTGGATACCAAACTCAAACTTTAAAAAACTCAGAAGAACCTCCTCACCATTCCCCATTATTACATTTTAGCATTTGCTTTCTTTCCTTTCTAGTTCACATTGCATCATTCTGTATTACTTCATGCTGAGCCAGGCAGACCTTAGGGGTTTGAATGGGTTTTTCCTACAAACAACACAAGCTTCTCATGATCACTGCATATACTACATTTTTCTATGTTGAACTGTGCATGGAAAGAAAGAAAAAAACTGGAAGCTACAGAATTTTGGCCTTAATTCTTAATTTCATTGTACCAATTAACAATGAAAATCTGGAGAAAGCAATAGCCTCACTGTAATAGCATCATATGCAAGCATATGAGAAACACAGCTCTAGTGCTATAAGCCTAGTCCTGCAGCCAGGCTTTCAGGCGTCATCAGGCAATAAAATACATGGTAAACCCAATACAGTACTAGCTACCTGTTTTAGACAGTTTGCCGGTACTCCTGTTACTTGATGAGCTATCTCCTCTTGTCAGAACAGTGATTCCACCAAAACTTGCAGTCTTAGTTATGGCTGGCTTCAGATTGCGATTGGAGCTGTCCGAGTCCGTGCTGCTCCATGGCCTCTGGTGGTCTGTCCATTTCAATTCATTATCTGTACTGCTTTGCCGACTGCCAGATGCCTTCCCTGTGCTGTCTCTGTTACCCCTGCAATATCACCAAGGAAACAAAGGAACATGAGAAATAAATCTGTAAGGCCAAAAATCACTCCTGTTTGCATTACTGTAAACATACCATTGGGAGGTGCATATGTGTTATCAATCACAACCAACCACACTTATATAAATGACATTTACAACATTGTTCCCTATATCACTTCTGCACAACTAGAGACCCACCAACCAAGATATATCCCGACTGCCTTGCTTTGTTAATGGCAGTACAGTTTTCAGTTTCCCTTTCCTGTTTTTGCAATTCCAGGCGGGCAGCCAAACCAGAACACGTGTCAAACCCATGGTGGAAAGTTGGCACACTATGTTCCAATTGGTAAGTTACAAACCGGAGATGCCTCCTCTATAGCAGCAGCAGATTAATATCCTGTCAAATGTTATGTATGTTCTTACAAGTGTGGATCCACGATATTCGGGGGGGGGGGATTTAGGGTTGCCAGGTCCATCTTCGTCCCAAGCAGGGGACTTTGGGGGGCCTTCCCGGAGGGGGTGGGGCATCCCCAATGTAATGACATCATGTTGGGGATGTCCTGGCTCCAAGCCCTGCCCCCGTGGGGACGGTCCCATCAGCCCAATCTCCAAGCAGCAAGATTGGGTGTACAGGGCCCTTTCCCACTGGTTGTGTGCACTTAAAGGCACTCCCTTTAAGTGCACACAGCCAGAGGACCTCACGTGCCTGATCTCTGCTCAGAGATTGGGCACATGGGGCCCTTTCCCGCCAGCTGCCTGCACTTAAAGGGGCTCCCTTTAAGTGCAGGCAGCTGGAGGGCTTTGCACGCCTGATCTCCGCTTGGAGATATGGTGCACGGGGCCCTTTCCCCTGGCTGCCTGCACTTAAAGGGGCTCCCTTTAAGTGCAGGCAGCTGGCCCTGTACACCTGATCTTCGCTTGGAGAATGGGCACACAGGGCCCTTTCCTGCCAACTGCCAGCACTTAAAGGGGCTCCCTTTAAGTGCAGGCAGCTGGAGGCCCCTGCCCACCTAATCTCCAAGTGGAGATTGAGTGCACAGCCTGCAGCCACTCCTATCTCTCAAGAGAGAAGGGAGAGGGGTGGCTGCAGGTGTTGGGGCTTGGGGGCGGGGCTTCCCCACCAGCCAGCTGGCTGGCAGTGTGTTGAACCCCCCCCCAAAAAAGCAGGTTTACCCTGCCAAACTGGGGGGTCTGGCAACCCTAGGGGGATTCCCTTCCCCCCTAACTTTAGTTGTTTAGTCTGGAATCCATTTGATCAGTTGTAATGGAGAATTCAGACAATGTCATGAGCGACCTATTCCATTCCAGTAGTTGGGGTCATTGTTCTCCAATCTTTTTTACGCTCAAATTATGGCATTAAAAACAACATTAACATAAAGATCAATTGCAGTACTAGGTTGCAGATAGTCAAAGTGCTTATTAGGTTTCTCAGGGCTAATCTCCTTGAGATTTTCCTTCTTTCCCTCTGCTTCCGGCTCAATAAACTTCTAGGTTCTGATACAGCTGGCTGTGGCATTCCTCATCAATGGTTAATTTTCTCATTAAGGAAAAATAACATTAAAAACTGATTCAGGTGGGTACCCACGTTAGTCTGAAGCAGCAGAACGATTTGAGTCCAGTCTCACCCTTAGGACCAGCAAAGTTTAATTCTGGATAAAAGCTCTCATGTGCATGTGCACTGAAGAAGTGTCTGAAGAAGTGTCCATGCACACGAAAATGTTTACCCAGAATTAAACTTTGTGGGTCATAAAGCTGCCACTGGACTCAAATTGTGTTATAGAAAAACCGAGTGGAGGTTTTCCTGCAAATTGCAAGCAGTACTTAATTTCCACCCCCTCCCCCAAGCAAGAGCTGATAATTAACAATTAATTTCATGAATACTATGGCTGGTAACAAAGAGAAGAAATTAATTAGGCTGTAAAAGGGAGGAACAAAGGGAAAATTACAGGGAGAAGAAGGACCTTTGTTGAACCAGACTTACTTCCAAGTGAACATATAATAGGATCTTGTCCCTAGGGACAGGCATAGCTGGATATTTATGGGGGAGGTGGTGCAAGACTGAGCATCGTGTGGAACTCAGCTTCAAATCTGCTTGCAGCTAATAAGAGAAAAGCAATGACTGAGCAGTGCAAAATCATCCTAGTAGGGCAGCAGACTTATTGTCTACAACTCTTCAGTGCCTCTCAGGAAACAAACAGTGACAACAGATTCAGTTAAGAAATGTTGTATTTGTCCACGTATAGGGTTTTTTTGGGGGGGTAAGAACCAGTGTGGTACAGTGGTTAGAGTATAGGATTAGGATCTGGGAGACCCAGCTTCAAATCCCCAGTCTGACATGGAAGCTTGCTAGGGGACTTTGGGTCACTCAATCTCAAACTAATCTACCTCATAGGGTTGTTGTGAGGATAAAATAGAGACGAGGAGAATGACGTAAGCTACTTTGGGTTCTTATTGTGGAGAAAGTTGAGGTATAAATGACGTAAAAATAAATTTAAAAATAGATATAAGATCCCATTTCTGTAGTTGCATTGTACATGTTACTCCTTAATGTCTCTAATATCATCCTTTTTATTCTTCATCACGACTGTCAAACACGGCTGCTCAGGCCAACATGGAGCTGTCAATTACATATTTTCAGTCAGTCTCTGTTCCTTTCAAGAAATGCTTCTAAAACACCATTTTGAACACTTCTTTCATCGGGCAGTATCTTATTTTTCTCTATAATCTTAAACATCTTAATTCTGCTCTTCAGTAACTATCCTTCCTCCGCTCATGCCCTCTTCCATAACCTGCTATTTATCCATTTTCCAGACAATATTACCTTGTTTGCAAATTTCCACAAGGACTAATTTTCTCAATATAACATTCCCTTCTGTCTGGTTCATACTTGTGTTTTCCTAGCCTAACACCTGTGCCAATAATGCCAGCACACAAGCACCTGTCTATAACTACTCTGAGCTCCTTAGCACAGAGGTTCTGTTTCTGAACAGTTGCAAATCTGTCATGGGAGAAACTAGATGAATATAAATTGCAACAAACTATGGTCTTTCCTAAGGTATTGTTCTTTTTCTTATAGAAACAGAGAACATGTATTTCCTAAGGTATTGTTCAAACCTTCTTCCTTACATCTTAAAGAAAAAGACTCCACGCTCCCTTGTAACAGTAATATAGCTAAGGCTTTCTGAAAGTGTTTCCCATTTTTGAGTCTTCATCTTGTAACAGTTATACCTTCACTCTTTTGGAAGTTAGGCTGCAGTCAGATGAGCAGTTTGATCCAATGTTGTTGCTGTTCCTTTCTGGATGTAAAGCGCATGATCAGACAGCAACATCTGGCTCCCATTCTCCAGTCAGTGACACCCGCCTTTGAATCTGAGTTATCAGGCCCCGGGAAAATCCGGTCTTTATGGATGTCTGTGCTTTTGCCCTACATTTCCAGCTGTTTGAACCCCCCTGTTGCAAACTCAAGCTGGTTGGGAGTGTGAACTTCTGTTCTGTCTTCCCCCCTTCTGATTTCTTAGTGATGTGCACATAAGTGCATAATTGCCCCTGGCACTGTCAGTCATCACTTGCAAGCAGCCAAGTAGTCATTCTGGATTGAGAGCCCCCGCGGGAGCAGTTTTTGAGCAACAAATCCCCCCAAACCCCTCTCTTCTGTTTCTGCATTAGAGTTACAGTTTGAGAGCATCTCATGTCTGACACAAGGTTAAATGTGCTGAACTCAGTAGAGTTACTCTCATGTAAATCTGCACTCCCCCCACGTATTCCAAGGAAGAGAGGCGAAGGGAAGGAGGCTGAGAGCGGCTACAGTACTTGATGGAGGGATCATGGAGCTATCAAAATGGTGATGATTCGAATGAATGCTTCTGCATATGCATGAAAGACAATATTTTAAAAAGGATGACGCCTGACCACCCACTCCATGGTTACCGCCCAGCAATAATCTGAATGGTCAACCACAGATTGAGCACATGGTGAGGTGGATTCAGAGTGGGATGTCTGATCAAAACTCTCTGTTAGAAAACAAAATGGAGAAATTAGAGGTGGGGCCAGAGTGTGCCAAGTCTGTCATCTGACTGCAGCCTTAGTTTCAGGAGGGTACCCATGTTGAGATGCAGTGGAGGAACTAGATTTAAACCCCGTAGCACCTTAGAGACCAACAGGATTTTCAGGGTATAAACTTTTTAGAGTCAAAGCTCCCTTTGTCAAGTACACCATGTCAGATTGTAGATTTGACTCGTGAAAGCTTATACCCTTAAAATCTTGTTGGTTTCTAAGGTGCTGGGTGGTGGGGTAGAAAGTACCATCAAGTCACAGCTGGCTTATGGAGACCCCGCAGGGTTTTCAAAGGAAGAGACGTTCAGAGGTGGTTTGCAATTGCCTTCCACCACTTCACGACCCTGGTATTCCTTGGAAGTCTCCCATCCAAATACTAGTCTGCTTAGCTCCTGAGATCTGATGAGATTGGGCTAGCCTGGGCTCTCCAGGTTGCTATTGGACTCAAATCTAGCAATGTTTTGGAAGTGTTTTCAAAGATACCAAGAGTATACAGCTATTCTGCTTAAAATATTCACACAACGTCTTTCTGTGTGAATACATTTATTCAGCAATTTTAGAGATTTATTTTGTTTCTTGAAGATAATGAAGCTCAAACCAGAGCATAACAGGATTACATATTTTACACACAAAAAAAAATCAAGGATTGCATCATACCACATAGGCATATTCGTATTTAGATACACAAAGAAGGCTAACGGGCATCTTTTTTTATTCTTCTTTAAATATACAAACTGTGATTCAGAGATTCCTGTCTTTATATGTACAGTAGTACCACTAGAATACTATACACAGTTCCTGATATCAAACCCTACTGATTGAGCAGAGCTATCTCTGATAAACCACGAACAGGGGACTTCCATGACTGTCATGAGCTTTGCACATCTCTGCACTTGCAAATACTTCCTTCTCCACTTTTACCTGCATTTTCTCTCTACAATATCATGGGTAAATTGATAGAGATGCTATTGCACAGATTTATTTTCTGCTTGTATTTTTTTGCTTTGAGCATTTTTTTTAGAAAAGCAATTTATAAATATTAAAAAATAGTGAGCTGGAGGAAAAGCACAAATTCAGGGGTGATTTTCTGATGACACAGACATATTTAAAAGTTTCAGGAAAAGAAAATCTCATACCAGCCTGGGTAAATGGTTGTGATCGTCTTTTATTTCTGTGTTAATTATCGTCAGTACCACATTTTCACAGCCATGAGCTTACAGATCAATCATCACTCCTAAATGCATTCACATATATTATCTAAGTACTATATCAGTGCAGATTTATTGGGTGAACTGAAAATTTTCCACAATCCTGTTGGAGACTTAGCCCACTATGAACCTATGCCTCTTCTGGAAGACATGCCAGAGTTTAGATATTTTGATATGCAGGGGGGAAGGAACGAGGTGGTGTTAGTTTGGGACATTCTGAATTTTATTTATTTATTTATTTAGTTATTTATTTATTGGCAGGGGTCATTTCCTGCAGGAGCGCGCAGGAGCGGAGCTCCAGTAGTAAGGAGCCCAGGGGGCAGGCACATGCAATAAGCCCCGCCCCCTGCTCCCAGCAGCCTTCATTCGGGCCATGAGGAGCAAGAAGCAGCCAAGTAAGTTGCAGAGCCCCCCCCCCGGCCCGCCTTCAGGTACAAGCTCTCCCTCCTCTGTGAGTGTGGGGGCAGATCTGCCCGTTCCCCCCCCCCAATAGCTAGCAATCCAAAACAGTCCAGTGGCACCTTTAAGTTTAAGTTTTGTTCAGGTACAAGCTCTCCCTCCTCTGCGAGGACAGATCTGCATGTCCCCCCCCCCAAATAGCTAGCAATCCAAAACAGTCCAGTAGAGCCTGAGCGGTGGGTGTTGCCTTCTGACACACTTCTGGTGATGTCAGGGGGTGTGGCATAAGCAAATGAGTTATGCTAATGCGTTATGCTAATGAGCTCCTGCATCTCTTTTTCTACGAAATGACCCCTGTTTATTGGGATTTTTACCCTGCCCTCCCCGTGAAATGGGCTCAGGGTGGCTTTTACCAAGGTGTTTTCATTGAATACTCCATTTTGTTTTGCTGTAATCCAACTGTGAGAATTTGGACTCAGGATAAACATCCAAACACAACAAAATTGCAAACGTATCTTTAAGGATTAATATTGTACACACCTGAAGAGCTGTCTCTTCTTAAGGGTTTCATTGCATATGCTATCCTCCAAGAGCCTGGTGAAAATTAAAAAAGCAAAAAACAACAACACAGAACTGTTTTTCCCAATACAATTGTGAGTTAATACTTTATCAGTGAACAACATATATTCACAATATTTTTTCTTTTATTAAACACAATTCATTAAAAATACATCACACCTAATTGCAGTGCCCATAAAGATGATAAAGGGGTCTATAACCATTCTTTAATATTGATCTGTGAGTTAGGGGTGATGTTTTGTGGCCTTCTTTTACACTGTCATAAAACAAATTATTTTTGCATTAGTAGCAACATGACTGCTATAAAACATTTATGGGACTGCATCACCCAATAATGTAACTTAAGAGTGGGTTCTGATAACATTAAGATACTGATTATTTTTAGTAATCAAATTATAGCAAGAATAATTCCATTTTCTACAAAAAGGTCCATATATGGGGGGGGGGGGGGCACACCCAACACTGCCATTCACAATCTCTAAAATTCAGGACGGGCACAGGGGTAGTTTTATCATGAGGTCAGGTGAGGTGGCTACAACAGCTTGTATATGGTATCTCCATTCACTTCAACAGGGCTTGCATGAGCGAGTTGCGCTCCAAAGGACAATTCAGAATGTCTACCTCAGGTATTAAAATGTCTCAGCCAGCTTTGAATATTTAATAACAACCAAAACATTCTCTGTCATTATGAATAATCACAAGTATCATACCTGCTGCATCCAGCCTGGTGCCAAATTTGCCATCTTTTCGGCACCAGGTTAAGACAGCCCTTAAAACCTTTAAAGACCTCCCTGGTCATGCAGGGGCCCAATACGATTAGCCAGGGGCTTTTCTTTCACTTTGGCTCAGGTCTTTTTGGATAAGATCTATTGTTTTTATGTTATCTTAAATTAATTTTTGATTCTTAACATTTTTATCTATTGATCTTATTGTTTTTATACTTGTTGTAAACCACCCAGAGAGTTCAGCTACGGGTGGTATAGAAATGAAATTAATAATGATGATGATGATGATCTAATAACATACATAAGAAATAAATTATCTGAAACTGTGAAAGAAAGACTTCTATGAATCCTGCCCACTGGATGCAACTCATTGTCTTTAATATACTGGTTAACTTTAAACCTCTGTGAAATGTCATGCAATATTATGCATTTAAATCTTTATGTACTTCTTTGTTTTGACACTCTCACTTTAAAGATTACCACAAATTAACTGATTCCCACCCAATGTATACAATGTATAGAAATTAAACATTATAAAAATATTAATTGAGTGCATATACATATACATATGTACCTGTTATCCACAAAAAGGTTTTCTTGTGAGCAAACTGACTGAAAAACAAAGACAACAAAAAGAACGCATTATATTAATTGCTCTTCATAAATCTCACCCCCCCTCAAAAAACAAAACAAAACAGAACAAAAAAACAACCAGAACCACTTTTCATATCCAGGCCACGAGCTTGCAGTCCATGCATTGTTGAGACAAGATATATTGGAGCATAAACAATTGATAATACATTGTGTTCATGAAAACAAATCTGATAGATTAAAATATACAATCCTGTATCAAGATGTCTTCTCGCAGAAGAGGTGAGCTTAATGTAAATTATGTATTTGAAAGCAAAGGGGAACATTCCTTGTGTATTGTCGATTTATTGGATTTAGAAATAAAGGCCCTGGTCCAGAGAAATTTAAATCAATGCTTAAAAGTCATTGATATCCATAGCACAAGTATATTATAACAAGTTTATGTCCCATTGAGTTCAGCGGAGATAAGCATGACTAAAGAGCTCAAATACACAATACGCTCCATAGGTGTTGCATCTAGGGATGCCATACCACAGTTGCGAGTGGGGGAATTCCCCAATTTTTGGGCCTCTTCCCCACTGCCGGATAGTTGGCTGGTGGTGGTGGGGAATTCCACCCCAAACGCGATGTAATGATGTCACACACAAGTAATGTCATCACATCGGTGATGCAGCATGGCGACACTCTGGTATTTTAGGCAAAACTCTGTAGTTTTGTCCAAAATACCAGAGCATCACCACGCAACATTGCTGACATTATGACATCCCTTATGCATGATGTCATTACACTAAGCACACTTTGTGTGCTCCCCCCTCTCCCAGAAAGTTTCTCCCCCTCCTCCACTGCCGGGTCAATTCAGCCTGGCAACCCTAGTTGCATCATGGGTATGTTACTAGATTCGCAGTCAGAGATACATTGGAGGATCTCAGAGTAAATTGGGCTTGTTCATTTGCTGCTGTAAGGGAGGGCTGCAAAGAGAGTTTGCCCCTTTCCCTTTTCATGACCAGACACATGCGGGCACAAGGTGAATTTGAGCCCTAACTTTCTTTGGTCTGGGTCCACACACTGGATGGGAAACACAAATGGAAAAAAAATCAGCACTGATAGAAGTGGATATAAATGGATATAAAAATTTTGATCTCGTGATTTAATTAGAAGAAATAACTGCAAGAACTGCAAAAAAGTTTTTTCTGAAAAAGTGTCATATAAAAATAAGATGGAATAAGTTCTGTTAGCAAGAATATTCCACTTCAACATTGGTTAAATTTTCATGCAGCAAAATGAGCCTGTGCCACTATTCCATGAATAATTCTCATTCCCATTGACTTTTTCCTCTGTTTTCATTCTGTTTCATGTTCATTTAGAGTACAGTAGCTGCATTTTTCCATTCCCAGCTTATATTTTCACTGAATTTAAACAAAAAGGAGGGGGAAGAGAAGCAGGAAAGCAATCAGATACATTGCTTCCATAACCATGGAACTACAGAATAATAGAATGGAATAAACAGGAATGTTGAATTCTAGTGCCACAGAAGTGCATTCACTCCTCAAGTTCCTATTTAACAGGATGAATGGAAAGGGATATGAAAGAGCAGTGATAAACCATGAAATACACTCATATTCATTTCTAGTGCTCTCACAAATTACATAAGGCTGACACCTTGGTTTTATACAATACATGGCTCCTTTACTTTAATTACTGTTTTATCATTATAGCAAATTCTGAACAGGGCACTAGAACATGTGTCCAAAGATATCCACACAGTGATGCCAGGCGGCGGGGGGAGGTTCTATAAGGAAACTGCCATTTTGCATAAAAATCTGAAATCTTAAAAAAATACATTTGTGGTAGGAGTAAAAACCATAGAATTATAGAAGAAACAAATGTAATGTTAATGAAAGCACACTGACATCTCATGAGGATATTTTCTGAGATCTTGATGGCCATTTTGAGGGTATCTAGGCAACTACAACACTATCGCTGAGTCTTCCAAGTAGGGTTGCCAGATCCCCTCGTCTTGCCGTTGGGGGGATCTGGGAGGCATTCTGGGAGTGGATGGGGATGTCCCCGATGCACTGATGTCACCTGGAAACGACATCATCACATCAGGGACATTGGCGGCAATGCTCTGGTTTTGGGGCACAACTCTATGGTAAAATTGGGGTCAAACCATAGAATTTTGCCCAAAAAACAGAGCCGGTGTTGGGCAGAAGCCCCCAAAACTGGGGGATTCCCCATCCAGACCTGGGGAATGGCAACCCTACTTCCAAGCCTTTTTTGCAGTTAGTCAAAGATGAGGGGAGACTGGAAAAAGGGGTGGGAGGGAGATAAGGAAACAGGAAAAGGAAAGAGGAAACAGTGTGGGGAGGGCAACACAAGGGTAAAGTGAGATGGCCCACATGAGTTCTCACTTGTTTCAACCATTTATAGACAGTCTCTCCGTGCCCAAACCTGAAGCTGAGGAAGCTACAACAGTTTACAAAGATAAATACCAATATTAAACCAATAAAGGACCAGTAACAAATGCATAAATATTAGCATATAATTGAAAGCTAGCATAAGGGAAGAAGACAAGCAAAAAGCAGCATACAGGCAGGTTTTTTTCAGGGGTATGTCAAGGGAAAAGTCTTCACCTAATGCTTAAAGATCAGGGCCAAACTAGACATATGTCTTCCACAGCCAGGTCATTTTTGCAGACATAAGTGATGCTGGTGGTTCCACAAGTCAAGTCATTTTAACAGACATAAATGATGCTGGGGAATTAATGTTTCCAAGTGCTCCTGAGTCCAATTGTGCTCAGAAGCATGGCATAGGGGAAGCTTCATCCTTCCCCTGGGCCATTTCCCCAAGGTGAAATGACAACAGGGGCCCTATTTGCCCTTATGGGTCTCCACATGGACTAGCCCTTAAGAATGTTAGTTCCCAGACATCACATCTGTCTGTAAAACATGGCAAATGTAACAGCCAGTTTGGCCCTCAGTCTTAGCATTAAGCAAATAAATGCAGGAAGGGAATTTCCCAAGTTAACTACTGTGATGGGGAGAGGCTGTGCCTCAGTGGCAGAGGATCTGCTTGGCATGAATAAGGTCCTAGGTTCAATCCCCAGCATCCCCATTTTTAATGGACCAGGCAGTAGGTGATATGAAAGATCTCTGCTTGAGACCCTGGAGAGCCACTACCAGTATGAGTAAATAATACTGACTTTGATGGACCCATGGCCTGATTCAGTAGAAGGCAGCTTCATGTGACAGAAAAGGCCCTGCTTACTCCATTTTATTTCTCAGAGAGGACGAGACATGCAGTAGGGTATCAATAGCTGGTGTCAATGATGGGCAAACTTATATGGAAATTTATACTAAGAAAGCAATTCTATGAAGTTCTACTTTGAAAGCCAGTCCCATTTTATTTACAGGGACAGAGTCCCAAGAAAGCCTGCCACAGAAGCCGGTTTGTAATGTGTACATTGGGATGACTCTAGCTCCCAACTACTGCAGTGTTCCATAGACTGAATACATTCAGTACACTCACATTTTCTGTCTGGTATTGATGGTATCACTTCATAATCACATTGGTTCATAGGGCCATTTGTTATTGCTGAAAGCCATGTCGTTTGGAAACATGGCTAAAAACAACAATGGAATCATATACACGGATCATGATGGGGAAAATACCAAATATATATTGTATATTGTTGTTGTTCACTGTAAGCAGCTCATTTTAGTTGATTTACTAATCCCCATTTCTTTTCTAGGATGCTAAATGAAGTTCTCATTGAAGTTAAAAAAGGGCAGTGAACAAATTCATGGAAGATGGGGCTACCAATGGCTACTACTCAGGATAGATAGCTATGCCTTTTTATATCAGTTGCTGGGGAGCATGGGTGGGGGAGGATGCTGTTGCAGTTTTCCTGTTTGTGGGCTTCCTACCAGCAGCTGGTTGGTCACTGTGTGAACAAAATGCTGGACTATATGGGCCTTTGGTCTGATCCAGTATGGCTCTTCTTATATTCTTATATTCTTAAATGTGTCCTTTGACTCTGATGGAAATAATTTTCCTTTCTTATCAACTGTGGATACGTTTTCCATAGTACATGCTGGCGGTACACAAGTTTGCAAATCTTTGCCTACAAGAGTGGAAATGTGCAAGCAAAGGCCAAGGTTTGGGGAAAAAAATAACAGCTCATGAGTTTAAGTCAGGCATAAGGCTACACAAGCATTATGGAGTCATATCGTATTCAAAAATGCAAGATGTCTGTTACCTCTTCAGTATCTTGAAGAGTATCACTGTAATCAGCATTACAGCCTTATGGACAGACTCAATTATAGCCCCGTTCATCTTCCATGCCGCAGAAGCTGGCACAAGGCCATGCCATCTCCTGGAATATCCATTTGTCAGAGCTGATGCAGGTCTCAGTGGCACAGAAGACAGACACATTTTATTATATTACCCTTGTGTTTTTAAAAAAAAAGAAGAAAAGGAAAGAGCCAAGAAGCTTAAGGGGAAGCAAGTTAGCTATTATCATACTGAGATTCACTTTGCTCCTTTATACGCAACACTCCATTTGCTTAATGCTTCTGTTATCATAGCATAGCAATTGCTAACTCTACCTTTAAATTCCTTGCTTGCCCGCCAGTCACAAATTTAAGGGAATGTAGGGGGAAAAGCTGAATATATTTATGCATAAATGCATTTGCTCAAGGGCCTACTGTACAATTCTTGCCTGCTCCGAACTTCCTACAAAATTCCAAGAGTAGTTTTCTGCTCTGTCACTAATTTTCTGTTGTATATCCACAGCATTCCAATTTTTAGATAACCTATTGTGTAAACTATTTTATCTATAATCAGATGCCTTCTTAAAACCAAGCTATCTCATCAACTATTTAAACAGGGCAAGAAGAGCGTAGAAAAAATTCTCAAGGAGCTATACTGGAACAGTTTGGTCTGGAAGTAAAAATTTTTTTGATTTAGATGTGGGATTCTTATTTCCTTGACTTGTCTTGTTATAAGCATATTGTGAAACA